CCGCTCCCTTCTGTCTAAGCTGATGTGTTTTCTGCTGTGGTAGTTAGTTATATTCATCAGTAACAGGCTTAATCTCTTTAACAAAAGATTAAGTCACCAAGTTCTTGGTGATAGTTTTAAGGTACATGTCCTTAGTGTGCACGACATAATTTTCCAAATCTTTAAGTTCTGTTTTAAATTGCATGGTTCGTTTTTAAGTCCATCACTTTCTTCTCACATTTCACTACAAGTAGCAAAGGTAAACTTTGTACCCCTTTAAGATCTTGCTTAGAAATTGCCCAAATATCCAAGTTCATCACCTACAAGTTCTACCTTCCTCCAAACATTTGAACGTAATACAGATAAGTTATTTGCCACCGCATAAAACCATCACCCTTCTTCCATGCCCAAACACGTGTCCATCATTTTCTTTTAAAGCCTCACCAAAGCACATTTGAGGTCCATATGGCTAGCAACATTCTGTTGATGGAGCCATATTAATTCTCCAAAACTATAGAGAATTTCTCTATGGCTCTCCTCACTTCCTTCTGAGCTCTCACCAGAATTGCCTTTGATGTCCGTAATTCTACCAACCGTCTCTTCAAAGCAATCTAGGCTTTTACTGTTAGGCACCTTAAAACTCTTCCAGCCTCCACCCATTACCCAGTTTCAAAACCACTTCTACATTTTAGGTATTTGATAGTGCAGCACCCTACTCTCTGGTACTGAATTCTGTCTTAGTTCTCTAGTGCTGCCATAACAAAAGTAACACAAATGGGTGGTTTTAACAAACAGACATTTATTCTCTCACTGTTTAGGGGGCCAGAAGCCTGAGTTCAATGTGCTGGCTCTAGGAGAAGACTTTCTCTCTCTGTCAGCTCTGAGGGAACGTCCTTCTGTCTTTTCAACTTGTTCCTTGACTTCTCAGTGATTTTCTTGCCAAATGACATCTATCTTTCTCCATTTCTGCTTTCCTAATCTGCTGCTTTGATATCTCAAAAAGGTTGATGCAAGACTTACCCTACACTAATACTGCCTCATGAACATAACACAGAAAACATATTCCCAAATGGGATTATAACCACAGGTATAGGGTTATGATTTGCAACACATAATTTTTGGGGGAAACAATTCACTCTATAACAGTGTACCTGACCCAAACGATGGTCTTCTCAATCCCTCATATACATACAAATTCTGGACACTGAAAAGAATGAGACACGAAAGAATAAGTTGACAGATTTGAATTTGGTGTTGGCAAAGAATACTGAATATACCTTGAACTGTCAGAAGACTGAATAAATCAGTCTTAGAGGAAGTACAGCCAGAGTGCTCCTTAGTAGCAAGGAAGATGAGGTTTGCATTGGACACTTCATCAGGAAAGACCAGTAGCTAGAGTGGGTTATCACCTCTGGTGAAATAGAGATTCAGTGAAAGTGAGGGAAACCTTCAATGAAATGGACTGACACAATGGACACAAATATACCAAAAAAAAAAAAAAAATTAGCTGTCATCCATTCAATTTCAACTCATAGCGACCCTCTAGGATGGAGTAGAACTGCCCCATAGAGTTTCCAAGGAGCAGCTGGTGGATTCAAAATGCTGCCTTTTGTTTAGCAGCTGAGCTCTTAACCACTGCCTCACCAGGGCTTCCAAACATACCAACAACCATGAAAATGTTGCAGGATGGGGCAAAATTTCATTCTGATATACATGAGGGTTGGAGCCAACTCAACCGCAGATAACAACACCCATCCATCCTATTGGTCCCTCTTTGATTGAATCCTCATTGATAAAAACTCCACAGGTAATATCACCAATTTTGATAACCTCAACCTCATTACTTCTTTTAAAGTTTCCAAGTCTGGACTTTTTTTTTAACCTCTCTTGTGTTGATAGGTGCCTTCAAGTTAATTTTGAATCACAGAGACCTCATGTGAGAGATTAGAACTTCCCCACAGGGTTTACTTGGCTGTAATCTTTACAGAAGCAGATCACCCGGTCTTTCTCCCAAGGAGCTGCTGGGTGGGTTCAAACTGTCGACTTTTGTTAACAACTAAGCACTTAAGTGTTTATGCACTCTTTTTATATTTATGTTGCTATCAGCTGCTATCAAGGTTATTCTGACTCAAGGGGACCCCATGTATGCCATGTAGAGCTGTTCCATAAGGTTTTCAAGACAGTGACCTTTTGAAAGCAGAACACCAGGCCTGACTTACTAGGCGTGTGTGGATGGATTGGAACCACCAACCTTTTGACTAATAGTCCAGTGCTTAACCATTTGCATACCCAGAGATCTAATAGATTTCATATCAGTAAATTCAACTGCAAAATGGATATTTAACTTGAATTTCAAAGGAACTAAGCATTCACAATGTCTAAATTTGAATCCCCCTTTACTGTTCTACTCCAGTGTTTGCTATTTCAGTGACTCTGCTGTGGAGAAAATTTGAGGAGTCTACAATCAGCACCAATGCCTTGTTGCAGTCACCAAGCATTCTCCCCTAATTTATTGTTACTCAGCCGGGGGAGAAATATTGGAAAACAGAAAAATACCAAAGAGAGGGAATATCACGCTTAATCCTACCACCTAGATGTAAACGTGGTTTATATTGTCAATATTATACTTTCAGATATTTGGGTATCTCTAGGCATTCTTGTTTGAGGTTTTGAGGAGTTATTTAGCATAAATCGTCTCATTTTCTTACTTTCCTTTAAACTGCTATTGCCCACAGTTAATAATATAGTATGTGGCAGTTTTTAATAATATGAAGTATTTTCCAAAAGTGGCAATACCTACCTTTCCAAAAAATAATAATACAGGCCATGCTGTAAACAACATAAATTAAACAAAGCAAAAAATGCACTAATGTGTCATCTATAATCCATATTTTATTTTTAAACTTTTCTACTTTTTATATTGTACACTCATATTATTAATATATTTATATAAAAGAAAAATATTTATTGAATACTTAGTGCCAGGCATTGTTCACAATGTTTGAGAAAGTATGTTGAGAAAAACTAAACAGAAACACATAAAAACTTATATAATTTGTCAAAAGGTGATAAATATGTAAACAAACAAAAGGAAAGACTAAAGTTGTTCTAGGGCATAGAGAGTGATGAGAGTGCTGAAATTTTCTACAGACTAACCATGGCAGTTCTCTCTAATGATAGTTGAGCCATTATATTATTTTATTTATAAATATATTTATCAATCAATCTATTTATTGCTATATTACCTCTTAAATAGCTGCATGACAGCCCATTGTACACATATATCATAATTTTTTCCACCATACAACTGATGATAGGCTTTTACTTTGGTTCTGTTGTTTGAAAATTGAAATGGGAATTCTGGCAATTTCTAGTAGTATTCATAAGACATAGAAAAATTTCTTGTGAGTGGAATTACTGGTACAATAACCAAACTCAATTTAAATATGGGCTCTTGATGTTGCATCTACCTTCCACCCATTTGTGGATTTGTGGTTACTTCTATGTTTAACCTGCTCATTTTTCTAAGTCTGTAGTGATTAGTTTCCAGAGCCTTGAAAAACCTTACGGAAAATTCTACTTTGCAACATATGGGTTGGCTGTGAATTAAAATCGACTCAAAGACAACTGGTTTGCTTCGATTTTTGTTTTATTGATTAGTTTTAGAAGACACCCCACACTGATATGGCCTCATTAACATAACAAATAAAGCCCTATTCCAAAACCAGATTATATCCACAGGTATGGGGGTTAGGATAACAGCACATATTTTAGAGGGAAACAATTCAATTCATAGTATTGTGTCACGTAACATTGTGTTACATTGCCATTGTTTTAACTAATGCTTATACCTGGCAGCTTATAGGTGTATTGTTTGCAATTTCTTGTAATGAAGAGTTTTACTTTTCATATCTCTATAGTTTTTTGCATATAATTTGAGGAAGGTGACCAGGAGTTTTTGAGAACCCATTTCTTTGAGGGAAGAATAACTCCTCCATTGATCAGGATGGCTGTGCTATGCTGTGGTAATCTCAGTTGTTGAGCAAAACATTACCTATTTCTTATTCCTATATAGAGCAGTGTGGATCAGTAGGGCTGTCTTAGGTATCCAGTGCTGCTATAACAGAAATACCACAAATAATACTACACAAAACAGGGAATCATGGCCTAACCAAGTTAACACACAGTTTTGGGGGACAACCTTCCCTCCATAACATTCCACCCTCTGGCCCCCAAAATCTATGCCCTTGCCCCATGTAAAACACATTGGTCCCATCATATCATCCTAAAAGTCCTAAATCAACTCCAAGTTCAAATTCCATCCTCCAGTAAAATTCCTCTCCATCTGTGAAATCTAGAAGTTATCGGCTTCCAAAGTACAATGGCGCAACAGACACGAGGTAGACATTTCCATTACAAAAGGGAAAAACTGGAGAGAAGGAAGGGATCACAGACACCAAGCAACTCAGCAGAACACATTACGTTAGACCTGAAGGCTTGAAAATAATCCTCTGTTCTCTGAGACCCTGTAGACGATGGCCCAGTCCTCCAGACTCTGGGTGTTGGCCACACTCTTGGGATTCTGGATGAAGGCCCCTTGGCCGTCAGCTTCAGCTCAGCCTTCCAGACCCACTAGGAGAGCAAGTGTAAGCCCTTGGATTTGGGCGGCTTCATTCTCCTAGTCCATCTGAGGGGCAACCTCATGCCATGTCCTTGGTCTGTTTTAGTCTGGAAGTTCTGCTGAAACCTGTTCACCATGGGTGACGCTACTGATATTTGGAGTCAGAATTGAATCCACAGCAACATATTATATATATAAATAAATGTATATATACAGACACACACACACGTACACAAAATGTACATAAATGAATTATAAAGTTACATTTTTACACACTCTAATCTTACAATTTCAGAAATACTTTACAGTTAATTCCCATAAAGTCTCTATTATTCCCCACAACACCTCTGTCACTATTGAAACCAAATAAGAGAAAACAACTTTCTTCATGGGTTAAAGTCATAGGCATATTTAAAAAAGAACAAAATCATCGGTGCTATATTCACTGATAGTTGTATGATATTCTACCATAAATGGCCGAAATAAAATGAAGCACTGGGACAGCCTCCCAGATAGTTTATCATTCAAAATCTCTGATGGCACAGATTGTGAGAGGTTGAGAATCATGTCCAATACAGAAATACGGCTTGAGGATTTCAGAAAATCTATCAATGAAAGAATGGATATGAGATCTGTCATTCAAACTGTAAAACGAAATCTCACCCAATTCATAGTCCAGATAAATGCCAATCCCTCGGGGTTTCTCCTTCACCACCAGAGTAACTGGAGAAGTACCTTGTGCAACATAGTCACCATCGCGCAGCTGAATTGCCCAGCATCTGGTCTGCGTTGTTGGGGGTCTCTTTGCCTTCCTGGAAAGGGAGTCTTTACAAACCCCCACAGACCATTCAGGCTTCTCACCCACTTCGACCTCCCAGTAATGTCTACCAGAACTGAAGGATTCAGAACCCAGGACAACTGGGTAAAACTTAAATTTTTTTGGATTAGGAAGAAATCTTTGTGCTTTCTTCACAAATGTGACAGACTTTTTATCTTCAGATACAAACAGATTAGGATGTGCTGTTTCAGGATCCAAGGTCACATCTTCCTTGAACTTCTGTATAACTTTCTGCAGAGCTGAATACTGTGGAGGAAGGCTGCAGCCTTCCTTCCTTAACTGGAAGGAATAGAGCACTGGGGGGTTGAGGCTTTCACATCGATCCTGGATGCTCTTAATATCTGTCAGCAGTTTCACTTCTGACAGCACACTCTTCTCTGCCACCTCCTTTAGTAGATCGTTGAGTGTGGAAATGTACTCTGAAAATGCTGTTATGTTTGCATTTAGTTTCTGTCGAATGTGCTTCTCTTCATGAGCTAACCTGGAGACAGCTGCCTCGTGCTCACGGTCTAAAAACTCGTTCAGGTGCTCAAATTCAGAGAATATTTTTTTCCTCTGCCTTTCTACCTTCTCTCTCAGTTCTAATGGTTCTCTCTCTTTGGTAGTTACCAGTTTTTGGAAATATGCCACTTGTTTCTTCAGGGGCTCTATGTAACTCATGAGCCTTTTCCTGTGATGAGAGGCAGCCTCTTCTATGGACCTCACGTGGTGATCCTTGTGGTCAGGGGGCTGAGTGCACAGGGGACACAACACCTCCAGGTCTTCCTCACAGAAATGGGTCAGGATCTGATTGTGCTTCTCACACAAGCGTGTCTGTTCCTCCCTCTTCCTCTTCCTCCTGGTGATGTGGAGTAGCTTGGCAATTTCAGCTATATTTCCCAGCTGGGTGTTGCTCCTGAGCTGCCACTCTTGGCATGGGTGGCGGCACACAGGGCAAGGGAAGCTGTCCTGTCGATCCTCCCAGGACTGCTGGATGCAGGAGCGACAGAAGTTGTGCCCACATTCGATGGTAACGGGGTCTCTCAAGTAATCCAGACAGATGGGGCAGTTAGCTTCTGCCTGGAGTCCTGCCAGGGCTGCTGTGACCTCCATTGGGCTATGGACGAAGGTTCAGGCTGAGAGGGATTTTTTTCAGGAAGGATCGAAGCTATGAAATCCTGTGAGGTCTCTGGTCCTCAGTTGCAGAGGTTGGTGTCAATAGGGGTTCTCTTCACAGATTAGTCAGGCAACTAGGCTTCCAGCCCTTTGGCAGCTTAGAGAATATGAAGAATATGTATTGGTCAGAATCCAGTCATGACCTCAAGGTGCCTATTTGTTCCTGGGGATGAGAAAATATTCCTTCATTTAAAAAAAGAGTCTCTGTAGCCTTGCTCAGGGCCACTGATTCTTGTCTCCACCCTTCCAATCCACTTATTTCTAAATAAAGTATGCTGAGGCCGGCTGATGGGACTGTGGAAAGAGTCTAGGCCTTGGGACTAGATCTCTTGTACTGGGTTAGATACCAGCCTTTTTGTACCTACTATCTGGGGAACCTAGGGAAAGGTTTTTAACATCCTTGACTCTAAGAGAATCATGTAAACAAGGATACAAATACCAACATCAATCATTTCAATCTTGTGAAACACATAAGAAAGGCACCAGATGGTTTTGGGCTTAAACAACAGACATTTCTGATAGCAATGAATTCATAATAGACCAAAGTTTACTTCTTTTTCATCTAAGCATCTCAATTACTGATTATATTAAACTACAAATATCAAACCCTGGATTAAATTAGATTTGCTTAAAGAACGATGCCAACTTGGAAAACTCACATGGTGCACAGAAAGGTATGTGAGATCAGCATTTCAAAGTAAAACAAACACACACATACACGGGCAAACACAACTGCTCATTGAAGTTATTGGTAACTACCAACTAGTAAGGATTTGTAGGGACAATATCCGGGGAAGTGATGGGAAGCCCAGACAGTGTAACTCTCCCTAAGAGGCAATTACTGATTCTGACCTGGAGCCTACAAGGCTTTGTAGAGCTTCAGTCAACTATCAGGACTGAGGGAAAAAAGCTTGGAGTTCAGGGCATTCACCATAAATGAACCCAGACAAACACACCAAACTTTTATTTGGGATCCCTAGGATTACCAAAATTGGCCTGTTTTTGAAACGTCTGATTAATTTAATCATTTAGGCATAGATTGGATTAAGACATCCAGGTTTGATTGTATGAGAACCTCAAGTGAAAGTAAAAGTGTTAAAATTTAAAGTGTTGGTAAATATGTGTTATTATTGAAATAATCATGCACAACTGGTGAGAACCTATGTTCGTACCACCACTTTAGAACACTATTTAGTAGAATGGTTAAATTATGGCCTATTCATAAAATGGGAAATAACAGCAAAGAAAAGGCACTAACTACTCTACTTAGAACAATGTAGATAAATCTCACAAATACAGTATTTCTTGAAAAAAAAAGCACAGAAAAAATAATACAGACTGCGTGATGCAGATTAGAGAGTTGAAAACAAGCAAAACTTCCTCATGGTGTATTAGAATAGTGCTTCTATTTGGAGAAGAGAAAGAAGCTACTGACTGGGAGGCAAGTCATAGAAATGAATGGCCAGTTCTGAAAACAATCCACATCCTTTTTAATAATTCATAAACTTCAGTGTGAGAAGAGAGAAGTGTGTGTGCTCTTTGTGCCTCATCTGAATGGTAAAAACTTAAAAGATTCCTAACACACAGGCAGAAGATACAGGCATCCTGTTTCTCTACAGAAAGGAAGCTTGGTGGATGGTGAGAAGAGACTATTAACCAGGCTATCTGAGCTGAAATCCTCCTTTTGTGTGGATGTGATCTTAGATAAGTCAGAAAGGACTGACTGAGGGAGGAGAGATGTTCCTAACATCAGTCCTGGTACTTTGAAGCACTCACTCAGTAGTAACTGATAATACTCCAGACTTTCCACACTCAGGATCTTGTATTCAAAGAACACACATTGTGTAGTCACCACGACACCCTCAAAGCCACCAACTCTTCCCTCTGGACACCTGCATTTGCCTCCAACAGCACCCACCCTCACCTCTACCTGCCATCCACTCACAGGGATGTAATCACAACACTCTCCTATTTAAAAGGACTCCAGGGTTGCTATTCTTATGAGAACCATGGTATTTTCCCTACAGCTGCACCTCTCCTTTCATGCCAAAGCTGGACGATGAATAAAGAAGACTAAAGAAGAATTGACACCTTTGAATTGTGGTGTTGGCAAAGAATATAGAATATACCATGGAATGCCAAAAGAACGAAAAAATCTGTCTTGGAAGTACAACCAGAATGCTCCTTAGAAGCAAGGATGGTGAGACTTCTGTGCACACATTTTGGACATATTATCAGGAGGAATCAGTTCCTGAAGAAAGACATCATGCTTGGTAAAGTAGAGGATCAGCAAAAAAGAGGAAGACACTCAATGAGATGGATTGACACAGAGGCTGCAATAATGGATTCATACACAAGGATTGTGAGGATGGCGCAGGACCTGGCAGTGTTTCATTCCATCGTACACAGGGCTACTGAGTCACAACTAACCCGATGCGCCTAACAACAATAGCACCTCTTCTAGCACCTCACTCTCTGCAGCTCTCTCCTTCCTTCAATGTCTCCAGCTGGCTGAGCTCCCCCAGGCCCCAGAAACTTTGTACAAGATGATGCTTTAGTTATCTCCTGTGCTGCCTTCAGATCTCAAAAGCTTTGTCACTTCCTCCAGGTCTAAGCTTCTCCTGACCTCCTTGACTACTTGTCTCCCCTAATACCAGGTCCAGGTATACTAAGTACAGTATCATGTACGTCTGCTTTGAAATGTTACAACTTTTGTGATTTTATCCAAGTTTTAGAGGTCTGAGGTCCCCACTAAACTGGTAAACTCCACGAAGTTAGGACTTGTCCCTTCCCGGACCCCCACCACAATTGCATCTCCCAGTATCTCCTCAGTCTCAGCATAAACGGTTATTGAATGAATAAAAGCTTAGGAACTGAGTGACTCTGGGCAAACCACTTAACATTTCTGAGCCTCTTCCTTATGTAAGCAGAATGACTTTTTGTGAAGGTTAAGCAAGATCAAGGCTGAACAGGCCCAAACACCAGGGATACCAGGCCTCATGGTTCTTACCCCTCCATTCACCCCAACTACACACAAAACCGCCTCTCACTGAGACATCCTGGAAAGTGATTCCACACTCGGCTTCAGGCCAGCCACCTCTGGGCGTTTTTCAGACACAGATATTAGTCACCCATTTTCTGACTCCATAGGATTAGGGTGGGATCTGGGTATCTATTTTCAGCAAGTGGTGAGAACCGTAATATATGTAATTTGGTTAAAATACTGCAAACCCAAGTTCAGATTCACTTTCGAGGGTTGGTCTCAGCCCGGCATTGAGTAGGTGCTCAGAAGCCAGGGCTCGTACTATGCTCTAGCCTCCAGCACCCACATGGCTCACCACCGGCTTACCTGGAACAACCAGCACTGCCGAGGGTCGCCGCTGCCAAGGGTCGCCGTTGCCGAGGGTCGCTGCTTCAGAGGTTCGCTGCTGCGGAGGGTGGCTGTGGAGGGTCCTATAGACTGATCTCCACAGTCAGCCTTGTACCTGAAGGCTGGTCAGTGGTTGGACCGGGGCATATATACCCCACCGAGAGGGTGGAGCTCTTAGGTTCTGCCCGCCATGGATTGGTGGTTCCTCCCTTGAGGATGGAGGGCAGGGCTGGGCAGTGTGGGAGAGAACGTTTGATTGGGGTAGAAAGGGCTCCCCCGTGAGTCGATCGAGTCAGGTGGGCCAGCCACTGCATTAATAGGCATGATCTCATTTCCACCTTTGCAATTCTGTTTTATCCTGTCAACGTCCTTTAATCCCAACTTTGCTGATGAGGTAACTGAAAATCTGAAAGGCTGAGTGAGTTCTATTCATACTGTCACCCTGGTTTGTTTACCTCTGGAACCCACCAGTTTAACCCTTACATTACAGTATGCAATTTTCAGCACCATGAAGTACAATGGCGAATTTTACATTTCAGTTGTAGAGATCTGGGTCGAGTCTATCCCTTACTCCTTGCACTCTCGCCACAAGCTGCAACACGTTCCAGTGATTGAAATATCTCCTGCTCTCACTTTTCATAAACCTAAACCAAACCTAAACCAAACCAAACCCGCGGCCGTCAAGTCGATTCTGACTCATAGGGACCCATAGACAGAGTAGAAACGCCCTACAGTGTTTCCAAGGAGCTGCTGGTTAACTCTAACTGCCGACCTTTCGGTTAGCAGCTTTAGGTCTGAACTATTGCGCCACTTTGCATACAGGGGTCATTGGTAGAGACCTGGAAGGCAGGCCAACCGTGGACCTGCCTGACATGTAGGAAGAGAAATTGTAGAAAGCGTCAAGCCAAGGGTGCAGTTTTGCAACTGTTGGTTGTTTAGGTTCTTTGACCTAATGCCTTCAAGAAATGAAGGCGTTGGGGAGAAGGAACCCTTATGAGGAAAAGAACACCCAGACATCCCAGCTAGAAGCAACAAGTAGAAGCAGAACTGCCAGGACTGAGGTGGTGTCTGATCATCTGATGACTCTTATTCCTGTTGTATCTTCATGGGGTTGGTCAGCAGCTATTATAATTGCACCCACTTTTCCAATGCTCCACCTTCACCTTTATCCTTTTGCACATCTCAGGCTCGATCTGAGAACCAGTTATCAACATGACCACCTCCACCAGAGTACACTCCACAGCCTCTTAGGTGATCTACTCCCAATCACTCTACCTCACCCCTTCTCATTCCCTACGGGTTACCTTTTTTAAAAAATTGCGACTTTACTTATGCTGCTTAAATCAATGGAGCAGTTTTCATAGCTCTTGGAAAGAGACAAAATCTTTACCACGTGTCAAAAGCCCCTACACTGTCTGGTTGCCACCTATTCTTGGCTCAGGGTCCACTATCCTCTCCTCTGTCTCTAACTCAGCACTCTGGATCCTCCTCCCTCTGGACCTTTGCACAGGCATCTTCATCCCATGACAGTTCTCATCCCCCATACACATTGTTTAGTCCTTTATTT